CTGGTGCGGCATTGGCTCACCCATATCCTCGCTCCTCGCCCGAATTATGACGGATAACCTGGTCCTACTCGGTATTTCGTACTCTGCACTAACCCATTCCACGGTACTACACGGCGCAGACTCGATCCGCACCACAGAGGTGGGTACGCTACTTAGTAGGTCAGCAAGCGAATACATGGCACATTTGATGGTATCAGTGTTTTGTCAGCACCGGCCCGATGGCCCAAGCTTCAAACGAGAATTTTCTGTCACTTCTTCCCATCGATCTTTCCCGAACCACTACAACGGCTATGAGAGCCATACCAGTCATGCCATATGTTCATACATTGTAACATACATACATTATAACTTATCCTTTTTGAAATAAATAATATCATCCCTATAAGATGCCTCGAATTTCCCAAAGTTCGGTCCTTATTCTCCAAATCCAAAAATCGGCCCAAAAATGATTATCACAGTTTTGACGCCAAAAATTACAAATCCCCAAATTCGGTAGTAGTAGCTTTATTCTTAGGTTTACGATATAAGCAGTCTTTAGTCCTCTTCGTCCTTGTGTTCCTTATGTTCTTAGTGAAAGTCTGAACTCTAACGCTGGACGTGGACTGCTTTTATAGTCCGCCGGGACCTATCTCTATCTATTCCCGAACGAACTTGTACTACTAACATCCTAGGCTATTAACTATAACTATAACACTTGTAGTGAGAGGGGAAGGCTCGGGCCTAGTTCTCGAACTTTCTCATGGCGCCATCGTCTATTTATATTCGTAGACACTTTACTCTGTTCGTGAATATACATAGACAATTTTAAGTATGATCCATGTAGAATGACACTCAAAAATCATCAGGGCCTGGTTATATACGATCAACCCTGGCTTGGGCCCTGAAATAAAAACCTAATATGAATTTCCGGAATCATGACTCATCATCCGGGACCCGCCAAAATTTAGGGTACCGAAGAGTCTCGAAAATTCATTAGGTGTCCCGAAACTCCAACACGCCCGCCAGCCTAAGGATTTGCCGGTGCTAAGCGTTTCTGGTGTCCATTGTTCTCATCATTGACGAACTGACGGATCCCCTTAATGTATGACTTAAACCGGCCCCAAGACTTCGGAGATTTCTTCATAAAGTCCTCCTTAACATCTTCCGGGTCCAAATCCTTCCAAGTCTCAGGGCGATATTGCTGCAGTGTGGCCAAGGATTGCGACGAATACTTGAACCACACTTCCCCAGACTTCGTTTGGATATATCGTTCGAACCGTTCAGCAATAGCCTGGAACCATTCAAATGTGTGCAAGTACTCCTTCAAGGTAACTAGTACTTGCACTGGGTCCGACCTGTTTTCCTCATCATACGGACCACTGACAACGAACAAGTCTTTCTCAACTCACGCAGTCTGATCCTTGTGTTGTATGAAGTCTTGACATTTCCGCACAATGTTACCAACCTCGAGCGGTTCAAGCTCAGTTGCAGTAGCTGTGGCATTTGCAATACGTTTTTCTTGTGCCTTCAGCAAATTTTTGCGGGCCAAATCCAAGATTTTCCATGAAGTCCCATCTTGACCCCGCATCACTAGTTCAATTGGCGAGTATTCCGATCCCGCATGAACTGTTCGGTTATATGCAAGTATCACCTCCCATATGTCTTTCGCCATACCAGAGGCTAAACTCTTGTTCAACCAGTCCTTCATAGTACGGTTGGCCCTCTCAATTTGACCATTGGCCTCGTGGCAATCAACTGTGGTAACATAGATATGTACCCCTAATCGAGCCCAAAATCCAACAAAATCGCTGTTATCGAACTCCTTGCCTGAGTCAACGACAATTTCATCGGGTATCCCAATACTTCCAATAATTCGCCCAAGGAACTTTACCTTCAAGTTCATGAATTCGCACTTCGCCAGACAAACCCTGCCATTTCTTCTTTCAGTCTGCGTAATACCTCCTTCAGTAAGTTAGCATGTCCTTCCTTGGTCATAGATCCTAGGATGACATCATAAAAGTATATGAAGGCTCCTTCAAGATCTCCTAGAATCTCTTCCATTAGGGATTGAAATGTAAATGCTGAATCGATTAACCCCATTGGCATCTTCAAGTATTGATAGCGCTTCCCTTCAAAAGTGAACGTGGTGTATTTCCATGACTCACGTGCGAGTTCCACCTGCCAATAACCACGTGCCATATCCAACTTAGAGAAATACTTGTACTTTGATGCACTCCGCACCAAGCCCTCTTTCTTCGGCACTGGGGACGACCGAAACTTCACTTGCCAATTCAATGGCACCAAATTTGCACAAATCCGCCATGTGCCAGGCTCCTTCTTAGGGACTACCAGCCGCTGCAGGTTCCAATCCGTCTTCCAGACACACTCCTCAATGCCGTGTTCCTTAAGCATACGATGAACCTCAGTTCTAATGGCCTCTCTCTTCTGAGGATTTTTTTCCTCATGGTATATGTAAACCGGGCTAGCATCATCTTGTAACACGATGTCATGCTCAGCCCCGTGATGGTAGATCTTCGCCATCTACCCATGCAACCCCCTGCAGCAAATCTTGAATTGCCGCAGTCATCCATGTAAGATTCGGTCTATCAAGGCGATATTAACGCCTTAAAGTAAATAAACGCGTAGGTAAATTCTAAGTATCGTGAAAATTTCAAAGTAAATAACCGAAATGAGACTTTTAGTAAAGTTAGATATGCCTCGTGAAAACAGCAATACTCTGAGGGATTGTGAGGCTGAGACATTGCCTATATATATAATCCTCTTAGTACTGTTTCGGCCGAAGGGATTTTATTTAGTGTTTCGTTGTCGCTCTATTAGAAACTATGGTATGTTTCATTGGGGCGAATCCGAGAGACTCATAAAATTATATCTTTAGAAAAATAAAAATAAATACTCTTGATGTCCTTAGTTATTGTCTTAACCAATAACTTGCCACTTATCAAGAATTACCGACTTAGCCTTCATTGGACTGGCACATCTGGTTGGCTGGTCGGAGGATCAACCAGGTAACGTTAATAGTCCCTAGAAACCTATATTCGGTTGAGCCATCTCGCTACCGAAGTACTCATGTAAACTTCGA